TGAATCTTTTATTTTCATAGCATGTTATATAATTATTTTCTCGACTCCAATATTTTTTCTAATTCTTGTGTGGTTAGATGCAAGAGTTTGGTTGTTCCATTGCCATATTGATTCATAGCATACTTGGGGACGGTTAAGAATGTGAAAGGCGAAATCTTGATCCATCGAGCCGCCGACCGATCAACACTCATGTTAAGGTTTTTATTTTTAAATCTCACTCATAAGAATGATGTCATGCTACTTTGGGAATTTCATACATATTTTTAAAACTGATCTTGAATATATTCATAACTAACTGATTAAACACTCCTCCTCAGGTGAGATAAGTGTTTTTCAAATTGAAAATCCCACGAAATCGGCTTGATTGATTTTCTCATGTTTTTCCTCTTATTTATCAACCTTTTGAATATTGCACGCGGGGGTGTGTTGAAGGTTTTAGAAAATGGGCTCTGATGCTATGAGTGAAGAAAAGTGTGTGCACTATGTGTGAAGGGGTGAAAAAATAAATAAATTGTGCTTTGCGTGCGCTTTATGTGGGTGAGAAAATAAAACCGAGTGTAGTGCTTGTGTGAGATGTGAGTGCGTTGTGCATGCTTTGTGAATGTACATGTGTGCTGTGTGAGTAATAGTGAAAAACAAGAGTAGTGTGTGTGGGATGCGAGTGTAAGAAAAAAAAAATAAAAAAATTAAATAAGTGTTGTTTGTACTTGCAAAAACAAGAAAAGAGAGCAGGGATGATGAGAAAATGCAGAGTGTACTTTCGTGTGTTATTTCGTGAATATTCCAGGGTTTGCTTTGTGCAAGACTTTGTGCTGCTGAAGTTTTGGGTGCTGATGGCTTGGGTATCAAGAATAAGTAAAATTTTTAGTTTTTCTTATATGAAAGAATAAATATAAATACTAAAATCAAATTTATATTAAACTTAAACGAACAAACACTATGTAAATGACTTACTTAATGTCTCTGTCCCGTGCATCGCATGGGCTACGTACTAGTTCTGTAAAAGCGTTTAACTTACATTTTAATTTAATGCAATAAATTCGACTGAATGTAAGATTTTTTTTTAATTATATTTTTTCATTAATATGATAAAAAAAAAATCTAATTATACGGCAAAAAGAAATCTAACGGCCAAGACTTTTCCTGCAATTTCACGATTGACAATTGACTCTTCTAGCTCCAATTTTCACACCGCAATTTCCACCCCAAAAAATATAAACAGATAAGATCCTTTTGTATAATTACTCCAACTTATAGTCTATATATATTGCATGTAAGAATAATTTACATTATCTATTGATAATATTAATTAAAACTAATAAATTTATGTATCTAATTAAATAAATTATCAATCAAGTTCATTGTATTTAATGATGAACTTAAAAAACTATAATTATATAATATGAGTACAAAAATTATTAATATAGAAGGACAAGCGTTACTTCATATTTTTATAAATAAATAATATATATTAAAAAAATATACAAAACTAAACATAAAACTTTTTCTCTTTTTCTTGTATTATAATTGTTTTTTCAAAGATTAGGCATAATATTTTCGTCACCCGTGTGTTTTACATTTCACATATAAATATACACTTCCAATAATGTATCTCACTAGACTCAAACCCTCTCTTCCCTTCCCATAAACAAACCTCCCCCCCAAAAAAAAACCCAAAATGGAAGAAAAGTACAACCATCAGGCACAAGGGTACCCCCTCGCTTCACCCTCCATGCCAAGAAGCGACCAAGAATACACCACCACAAACTACCAACCCTCTCAAACCCTAGCAAAATGGAAAAAAATCCGGCTCCGCCGATTAGCTTACTTGGCGTTTGTGGCCTCGACTCTTGCCACGCTTGTCCTCGTCATCACCCTCGTCTTCTTTCGAGCGACCACGCCCCGGGCCCGCTTGGCCGACGTCGAGCTGACTGGAGCCGCCACCGGCGATGGCCTCCGACTGACCGGGCGGGTCTCGGTCAGTAACCGAAACTTCGCGCGGTACGAGTTCGAGAGTTCCCTTGCCACCGTACGGGCGGCCGACGGCATGTATGCGGGTCGCTTCGTTATCCACGACGAGCATGTCAGGGCACGCTCGACGGCTAGGGTTTACGTGGTTGCGGATTTGAGCCGCCCGAGCACGGTCAACGGCCTGTCGGATTATCGAGTGGAGTCGAGGTTGAAGGGTAGGGTTAGGATTTTGAGGGTGTTTAGGAGAAATAGGTTGACCGTGTTGAATTGTACCATGACCGTTGACTTGACAACAAATGGTGTTAGGAACTTGAGGTGCTACTAGTGAAGTGATATGTTAGTACTTTGTGAAAATTGTATTATGGTTAAGGAGTATTTTTATATTTTCTTTATTTTGTTATTGATTTTGTAGAAGATGTGTGTATTTGGAGTGATTGTATTTGATGTCTATAGTATGGTTTGATGGGTTGGTGTGTTTATTTTGTTATTTTAATTTGATTTGTGATTGATTTATGTGGATGGTTGCGAGGAAGAATGTTGTTAGCTAGCTATTGTAAGACTTAAAAATATTTGATCTTTTGTGATTGGATTCATTATAGTACTTTTTCATTTGGAAAATATGAATCTCTCATTTGGAAAATAAGAATGGATATTATGCTGGTTGACAATATCTAGTTATTGCTCGAGTCGAGTTGAGACGAATACTAATTTTGGCTACTTGTGCTCGTCTACCATAAATGCTCTCGACTCATTTAACAAACTTAAACCGTAATACGCCGCGAACATATTTGGCTATATTGTTCGTTCAAAATTGTAAAAATAAGCGAGGTTATTCGTGAATTTTCTCGAGTTGAATTGTTTAATAAAAAAGTTCGATTAAATACATCGAAATTTCAAAAAACGTAAAGGATCATATATGAACCCAATTACTTATATTGGGCATGTTCATCATATTTTCAAACTTCTATTTTCCTTTATATATTCTTTTCCCTAAACATTTATGAATAATTTAATAGATAGTTATGCTAAATTATAACCCATAGTTGGAGATTATTGTGTTATATAAGTGGACCAACTTTGTATAAAAACCATTAAATGGGGAGAAATTAATTAGCTGCAATGGTTGATTGTTCTTCAGTCTCCACATCGTTCTCATGAGAGGCTAACCCCACCCAATTGACCAATCAACTAAATTTAACAAATAAAAAAAAAATAAAAAAAATCCTTCTGAATAGTATGAAACTGGAAGTTTCCAACTTAGCTCTACATTCTAAAATTTGGATATTTCCATCTTAGCTTAATTCTATCTAAACCGAGAAAACAATTTTTTTTGTTCAAAATTACTAATACAATAACCGTATACTGCACGTATGTTTATAAAATAATTAAATGTACAGTACAACAAATGTTTATATATTTCGTTAAAGTTGGAAAAAAATGAACAATACATAACAGTTTATAATAAATAACTGAGTGAATTAATTATTTTATTTTAATTCTGGAAAATTATAATTTTTTTTTTTATTTAAAAAACATAAGACAAAACAAAAAATTTGGAAAGTAAGATATATAGAAATAAGATAATAAATAGATTTATATGGAATTGTTTAAATAAATTAAATATGTGTATATACGTCACATAAGATTACAAAACGTGTGAAACTGCCATTTAGGCTTAGCACGTTCTTAAAATTGTTCCAATTTATGTTTTGTTGGATAATTGGTGATGTCGTCGTGAACGCGTGTCAATTGTTGAGTAAATTACAATTTTAGTCATGTATGTTGCACCATTTAACTTTTTCGTCCTCTTCGAATTGTACTGGTTTTTATTTTCGACCGATTTGTTTGAAAAAAAATGTTACAAAAATGTCATTTTCGCAACAAAAAAGTCCTTTATATTTTGCAAAAAAATATTCCAATTTCGTCCCTTATGTACGAAAATAACATTTGTGTAACATTTTTTCAAACATACGAGACGAAAATCAAAAACCCAATTCGAAGAGTACGAAAAAGTTAAAGAGTGAAACATACATGACTTAAATTACAATTTACTGTAACCTAAAAATAGAATGTATATATTTAATTATTTCTTTATACAAAATTCTTGTGTGCGCCAACCTAATTTATAATTTTTGGAGCAACCTCGACACATTATTTTTACATTTATTTATTTTTTTATTTTTTTGTTTTTTTTTAATGTAGAAGTTCATCATTTTAAATGTAATGTAATGTTAAACGGGCTGGGGCAACTGACCAGGTTTGGGCTCGAAACTATTTATCTTAACCTGGTCAATTACCTACTCACTAGTTGTCTTTTGTGTGAGGTAGAATTAACCTAAACATTATATCTTCAATAAATTTATTATAGTATAATTTTATAAATGTAGGCATTTTAAAATAATATAAACAATAATTTATATTATTTTCAAAAAAAAAATAAAAAAAATAAACACTTGTCACTTGATAAATTTTTATATTTCTAATAGTTTATTGTTACATTGAAAACTTCATGATGATCAAGATTCTTTCCATTTTGTTTATTTTCTTTAAAAACCAACTTCATATCATAATTCTTGCCATTTTATTTTTTCTTAATCAAAGACTTATAAGTCCATCTCCATATTTTTCTCCCTCCTCGAATTTTGCACAAATCCTTAAAAAATGGGCAACATTGATAAAAAAAATTCCAAATTCCACATTCAAAGTCCACCAAACGCGTCCCCCCAAAATAATAATAATAATAATAGTAATTCCACTTAATCAAGAAAACTACACACACACTCCCCATTCTATCTCTTTATAACTTATCATATACTCACTCTTCTCCTACATTTCATCACAACTATTCCAAAATAAAGACTCAATTTTCATTTCATTTTTTTTTTTGGTCAACCATGTATGAGAAGAAAGAGCAAGGGAAGCCCTTAGCTCCGGCGGCCGCCGCCGCCAACCGCCTAGAAATCGAGTCAAACATCGCCTTCCCGCCAGAGTTCATGACCCGCCGCCGCCAGACGTGCATCAAGTTCACCGGCTGCTTGTTCGCCGTTTTATCGGTTATAGTCACGATCTTACTCGTGCTCACTTTCACGGTTTTCCACGTTAAGGATCCCGTCTTGAACATCGACTACATAAACTCGAACATCCGACCTCTTGATCGTGGCCTTAACGCGACTATCGAGGCTGATATCTCGATTAGGAACCCAAACGTAGCGGCGTTCAAATTTAGTAACATGACAACAATTGTATACCACGGTGATATGATCGTTGGCCGAACGGAAGCCATGTTTGGGAAAGTCGGGGCACGAAGGACTCTGA